CTCAGAGCTTGGCTTTCTCACCTTATCTTGATACCATTTGGTATAGTAAAGAGAAATTGATTGGAATGTCTAACAGCTGAAATCAAATTAGGAAATATACATCAGATTTTAATATAACAGATTTAATCTTTCTGTATTAAATATTGGGTCCATTTGTCTTTTAAAGTGACTAGAAATTATATTTAGTGTAAATTGGCTCTTGACAGATATATCAAGATGAATAGCCGAGAAATGCGATAATAAACTTTCTTACAATGGTACTCACTGATCTGCGATAAGGAGCATTTGTAAGTAAATGTAAACAATTCACAACGTAAATATTAGCAAAAATTACTGTAACTTAGACACGATAAGCTTGAACAACAGAGTAGACCATTTTTATATATCTACACATTCCTGGTGGCTCTTTATACTCCTTTCCATTGACCTCTAACCTCAAATCCATTTTAACCATCTTCAAATGAAAGTATTTGCCAGTTGCTATAGTCAATGAAAAGGCTACTGTTAGCAAAATATAAAGAAATTAATTTCGCTTATGTTGTCTTCATTTAAAAAAAGCAAGCTAAGCATTGCATATAAAGAAATTATGAAATTCACAATTTATTAATGAATGCAGCTAGCATTACATTTTAAACTGAGGGATTATAATATTAGGTTTAGTGAGAAACCTGCATCCTTCTTTGAAATCATGTTCCAAGATTGACAACTCCATTTTGAATATGTAACATCAATATATAAGAATGATGTTTATATCTTAGATAATAAAACACAACATATATAACAAATTCCTTAGTTATAAGTTGCTATTCGGGGTTCTCGCTGTACAAAAATGTCAAAATCAATATCAATACCCAGGGAAATATTTGTTGCCCAATTCCTTTTTTTTCGATACCGCGATACCGTCAGGGATAAAAAAAAATGGCAATGACTGAAATGTATAAAGAAAATGTATTTATTAACATGAGAAACTCAATTTCTAAAATCTTTTCAATTATTTCATCTAACCAAAATCACACGTTCTATTCATGAAACAAATGTGCAAATAAATATAACATAAATAATTCAAATATAATCCAGTTTGACTATATTTTAATGTTGTTTGAAGTATCATTGTGCATCAGTTTTAATGGACAAAATAACCTAGAAATTTAGAAACTCACAGCAGCAAAAAAATATGCAAACGACCGCCAAATTAGTATTGTATCCAGATGCAGTGTTTGAGTATAGATACTTTTCAGAGTATTTATTATTTGACAAACGTAGTTGCTATTATGTTACTCTTACTTAGTTATTCTATGCTTTAAAATGTCCAAACTGTTTACTTACAAAGCTAGGTTTAAAGTGATGGTATACTTATTCAAAAATGTTAAAGAATCATTGGTTTCCAGAATCATCACTGAAAAGGAAGGTACAAATGTCCTTATAACAGTTTCAAGACAAAATAATATACTGTGATATTTTGATATTATTATTATATCATAAAGTTTATTTAGGATTTCTTTCTTGTAATTTAAATAATTTTTTTAGACACATCTTTACTGTGTGAATTGTTTTATAACTGTAATTTTTTAAAGTACAACTATCAGGGCAGCATGCTATTATTATTACAGAGTTTGTCATACAGATTAACAAGGATTTCGTTTAGGATTACAGGGAAGGGAATTCATATTTGAAACTCATCTTTAGATTAATGGCATAACACATAGATATAGTATCCTTTCTTTGTCAAGAACAAAGGTTCAATGTCACAAAGGCAAAATCTTACAAACTAAAGTACCTTTTTAAAAAAAGAAATACGCGAATTAAAATGATCAAGTGCTTTTTGGGTGGTCTGCTATGAGGCTGTCACGGAACACTTAAAATGTCAGGAAATTCCAGTTTTCTCTAATGACACGCTAAACCGAAGACTAATTTCTCCGTTTTCTTACCTAATTTAATGACCAAAGCAATACTCCCAGCCTATACATACATGTATGCCTATAAACAATGGCTTATACATTAACTGCTATACTGCAAAATAGCTATAAATAGTTTTCTAATGCGTAATTTCACAAATATTCGACAGAATTATAGCTAGCTCGTTAGCCAATAGCTAATGCGCGTGCGCAGATTGAGAGGCACTTCACCCTCTTCCAGAAAATAACATCCAATGTTCCGAACGAACATGACTCTCTGGGGCTTGACAGCTACGATAAAAAAGCCAACCCTGGTAAAGAATTGCCCCACATCTAATAAAGAATGGTTACTAGAATGTTATTCGACCGTATGCGAGAGAAGGCCGGGGAAAAATTACACCTGACAAGGCTCCGGAGCTAACCGGTTGGCTGTGTGTGGTCACTCGGCGGAGCATCATGGCTCCTCGTCCAACTTTACTAGATCAATCTATGAGCTTTGACAACAGTCCACAGCTTCTCATTTACCACCGGGGGAAACATGGTGCCACATGTGCTCCCGTGTGTGAAACGAAACTTTGAAGCCTAAACTGTATGGTTCTTACAAACTCGGGGTAAAACTGTCAAGACTACCCACGAAAACTGGCTTTGACCAGGGCCATCATTGGTAAAATAACGGTCCAAGTGAAGGGCTTCATATCCGAGCGGGACGCTGTTCTATCGGGGTAACAGCTAACAGCATATTTTCCACAACAGTCATGTCCACCATAGTGGTGGTGGAGGTATCCCTGGTGGTGTTAGCCCCTTTCGCCCTCGGCTTCAAGTGTCGCAGCTTCCCACCACTTATTTCTGCCAACCGCCGCTGAGAGCTCACCTGCTGTCGTGTCGCGCAGATACTTCTCCATCAGCGGGAAAGTCATCTCGGGGAGGTCCAGCGCTGCTCCGTATCGTTCCAGAAACGAACATACCTCCGCGAAGCTCGGGCAAAGCGGCGGGCCGGAGCTTCTCACCACCGCCGGAGCAGCCATCTTTCCAGGCGGAGAGAGAGAAATGAGAGGGGAGGGATCGGAGCTCGGATGCGACTTGCGCGAATGAAATGAATGGAAGCAATGAGGGATCTCTACCGGTGTCAAGTTAGATACCGGAAAGCAGGAAACACAGGGTTTAAAACTTTCAAAATAAATGCAGCTAACTGACATCAAACAGTTGTTGATTAAAACGAATTGATTCAATCTCAGAAACTACATTAAACTACGGACTATTGGCCACAAAATTTTTGTTTTTATTCCCTAACCCTATTCTATGTCAATATATGAGAAAAAAGTTAGAATTATGACTTTTTTTCTCAAAATTCTGACTTTAATCTCAGAATTCTCACTTCTTTTTCACACAATCTTGACTTTTAATCTCAGAAATTTTGTTTTAATTATATGTCAATATATGTGAAAAAGGTTGAACTTATGACTGTTTTCTCACAATTCTGACTTTAATCTCAGAATTTTGGAACTTAATCTTAAATGGCACCCCGAAGGAAGAGATGTGGGAGCACCCAGCTTCACTGAAAAAGATGTGAGTTGTTTGGGAGGGGCAGTAACACATCGGTGGAAAATGATGGAATTAGGTGACCCTGGGGGTCCCTGGTGATGCTATTTCATTAATGGAAGAGCAGAAGGTGATTAAAACAAGAGAGATAGTTTAGTCTGACATGGCTATGGCTTGATGGTAACATGTTTGTTAGCTGTCAGAATTCTAAGAAAAAAGTCAGAATTCTGAGATTAAATTCAGAATTCTGAGATTAAAGTCATAATTCTGTCAAAAAAAGTCAGAATTCTGAGATTAAAGCCATAATTCTGACTTTTTCTGATATTATACTGAAATAAAATTTTAAAATCAGTTAATTTTTTTTGTTTTTTCAGTGGCCCTAATCGCCTTCCGTATCAAACACAAGATTAAACATAAAAGAAAATTATGTAAGCAGTTAGAAGGCATAAAACGGTAAAAATAGATGATCTAAAAGGGTTTGTAACTTTACTTATTTATTTATTTTTTTCCAAAATTTGAGCTATTTTAATAAAAATCGTAATAAAATATCAACCAAATGGATTACGATTAATAACAAAAACACAAAATCAAATGGAATAATTTTCCCAAAAACTTAAAAAAAAAAAAAAAAAAAAAGGAAAAGGATAAAATGAAACCCCTTGGGACAAAGGAAAAGGCACAAATTATACAAATAAAAAACAAGCTTGCTTTGAAATCAGAAGAAATTTAAATGGGATAGATTGTTTAAGTATATTAAAATATTTTCCTTCTAGATAAAAGCTCAAATGATCACATTTAAGCATTAAAGTCAGCTGATTTTAGTGACATCGCACAGGCTTCTTTGTCAATTATTTCAGAATTTTTACTTATTCTGTATATATTAGCTATTGCTCCTTTTAATACTATAGTATATTGTGGATCGTTAAAAAATCGGACTGTTTTGCTAAATGTTGGTTTCTGCTTTTCCCTGATCATTATACTTTTATGTTTGAAATTATTTTGAAACTTCCGGAAAATGTCAATAGATTTATTTCAGCTCTTGATTCAGCTCTGAGAAGTTTTGAGGGACCACAGAGGACACAGCCAAATTGCCCAGAATTCATCGCGTCTGAGTAACATCAACAACAAAACGGTTTTGGTTTTCATTCCTCGGATATTTCCAAACCGTGGCCCCTCATGTTCACAGATTTTTCTACCAAAAAACAGAAGTCCCCGCGGACGAGTGGGCATGGAAAGCGTTAAATTAATCCAAGTAATTTTAAAATAGCTTCACATTAACTGTATCTATCAGTCTATCTAGGAAATATATAAAACAAAGCTACTAAATCTTTTATGCCTCATCATATCATAAATCATAAATATCCTATTTACATTTTGTTAGCTAATATATATTTTTTACTGTTGATTCAAAACAACATTTGCGGGAGAATACACTTAAAACATAGTTTTAATAAGTTAGCATCAAAAACATTTTTTTTTTCTGTTACTGTCCGCTTCCTCCTCGAAGAATCAATTACCAAGCTTCATTGAACGTACCACGATGGACAGAAAATCGATATTTCCTACGTGTACGTGAATGCAACTGGTATAAAGTAATGGCGGAAGGAGTTCGGAGGCTTACAGGAAGAAGGTGCTTTCGAAAGTTGTTATTGTTCTATCATCTAATGCGCCGTGCCGCCACATCGTCCAGGCCTGGAAAACAAATAAATGTTATTTTCTGAAGCGACAGACTTCTGTATACCACAGCAATGACACTATAGTTATTAAACAACAAACTCGGTGTGGGTAAGTTACTTTTCTTTTTTCTTTTTTGTTTTATAATAAAGTTATATGACAGCAATAATGGTTACTACCTTCTAACCAGGCCTTTGGTTTCAGAAAATAGTATTTATGTGGGAGAATATTGATAATATTTTTGTTGTTTGTTTCAACTCTGCCTCTAAATAAAGCAGTTGCATGTAATGAAAGAAGCACGTTGATGCTGCTGTCACGAGCTGTTTTTAGCCTGGACTCCTGTTTCACCTCTTTAACTTCGTTAAATTGCTCAAGAGGGATAATGCTGAAGAAAACAACTGGAAAACCATTGATAGATAGAAAATCTCTTGATAGATAGATAGATAGATAGATAGATAGATAGATAGATAGATAGATAGATAGAAAATCTCTCTACAGTTAGATAGATATAACATTTCTTTATAGACAGATATAAAATCTCTTTATAGATAGATAGATAGATAGATAGATAGATAGATAGATAGATAGATAGATAGATAGATAGATATAGATTTTCTATCTATCATATATTCCATTTCTAAATAGGTTTATAATGTCTGAGAAGGAGTAACCAATATGTTTTGTGCTAAAAACATTCATCTGTTTAACCTGTCCGAGATTATTAAGTATAAATGATTTTTGTGGAGTTTATATGTGTGTAAAAGGAAAGGGACCCAATCCATTTAGCTGTAGAAAACTCTTGGTCCTCCTTTAGAAAGAAAACTCTTGGACACTTTCTCTGACATAGCTTTACTTGGATTGTAAACAAAAGAAAAAGCTTTAGTAATATGGTGAGAATAGCAGAAATATTCTGTTAATAAATCAGTCTCTGGTCCCACAGTGTAATAACATTGAATGTATGCATGACCTTTGTGTAAAAAATCGCAGTGTATGCTACAGAATGCAAGTAAACTGTGTACTAAATGTTTTCTTAATATTGATGTGTTCCACCTGCTGGTTATCTTAAAACAATGCTGCACATTTGCATTAGAGAAAATGACCAGAGAGGAATATATTCACTCTGATAATGAATCTGATGTTTGTTTGTTGTGTAGATAAGTGCAGAGAGGAGAGATGGCCATCGCCCATGTTGCTACAGAGTATGTGTTCAGCGACTTTCTGCTGAAGGAGCCAAACAAGGCTCGTTACCACAGCATCCGCACAGAGCTGGCTGTGGACAAGATGGTGACCTGCGTGGCCGTGGGGTTGCCCCTCCTCTTTATCTCGCTGGCCTTCGCTCAGGAGGTCTCAGTAGGTGAGTCAGCCTGGATCCAATCTGTTAAAAAAAAAATCCAGATCCTCTTTCTAATCAGGCAAAGCTTGAGGGGAAAATTAACCGTTATCAGCTGATCTGTTTGCAGAACGATGTTGTCTTAGATTCAACCAAAGGAATGGGAACAAATTGTGTTGTTGTGACATGTGGTTTGGACCCAAGGGACTAAAAACATTTCTGTTTAAACTCTGTCATACGTTTTCTGTTATGTGTACACATGTCTCATGACTTGAGTTTTAGGAGCTGTTTATGCATCCATGGTGTAACCTCGGTCAGGATTAAAACAAACAAAAACATGCACACAAATCCTTATGTGATGAAATTTTCTTTTCTCTCCAGTGTTGATGTTTTCATATTGATGAATTCGTATGAAATATAAGCTTTTCTTTTTAAATTATTTGCTGCAAAGTAGATGCTCAAACATGTTTTAAGCCAAAGTCGTAGAAGTTAATAAATATCATCTTATCTGACCATAAAAACCTTTAAGTTTTACTTGTTTTTGTTGTTCTTGTGCTTTTTGTTTCAGGCACTCAGATCAGTTGTTTTTCTCCCACCAACTTCTCCTGGAAACAGGCTGGCTATGTGGATTCATACTGCTGGGCGTCCGTTCACACACACACTCTACCTCTGTGGCTTCACAAGGTACAGACACACACACACACACACACACACGCACACCTCCACAAAGGTTTAAACGTGCCCACCCTGTCCAAAGTAAAGCCACCACCATCAGACTCTTGTTCTGCCACAGTAAAAATTAATATTTAACCTAGAGCTGAATATGATATAAAATCTGAGATTTAATACATGAGTGAATTTATGGTGCCTTACAAAAATATTTACGCCTAAGAAAAATTTTTTTTGGTTTGTTTTAAATGTAAAAGGCAAACTCAAAGCAGAGCGTAACTAAAAACCTGGTTTCCATTTGGAAATAAGGTATATAGCAAACAGCTTGGGGATAAAGTTGTGTGAAGGTTTAAGCAGGTTATCCTGAGCTTTGGACATCTCACAGGAGCGCTTCTCATTACATACTGGGATAATGGAAAGAGAAAAGCACGACTACTCACCAACAAAGACATCTTCCTGCCAGACCGGGAAATAAGAGGTGACTCTGAAGGAGCTGTAGAGATCCAGATCAGAGGTGCTGTTGACATGGAAACCATCCATTTTGCATCACTAAATCTGGCCTTAATAGAAGCCATGGGAGGAAGTTGTCTGGTTTAACCCAAAGGTGAACTTTGTGGTTTGAACTGTTCAGACTGAGGGACAGCTATATGGAGCAAAATTCAGGGAAGAAATTTAAAGTGGGATGGAGGTTCACCTTCTAACAGGAGAACAACCTTAAAATTCAGTCAGATCAGATCAGATGGAAACCATCTGATCTGATCTGACTGACTTTTAGCTGTTTCACAAAGAAGAATCTGTTAAACTCTAATGACAAACCCCCAAACAACCTGTAGCTGTAGTTGCAGCAGAAGCTGCTTCTACAAAGTTATAACTCAAGATACCTTAGTATTATTATTCTCCAAACTTGATCAATTTATTGCTTTAATTTCATTTTATTGTTATGCTCTATAGTGTGTTGCTAATCTATTGAAATTCAAATAAAATACACTGAGGTTCATGGTTGAAAAATTACACAATGTTATGTTATGTAAAGCTGATGAATAGTTTTAAAAGGTTTTGATACAGGGGGCATAAAATACTCAAAATCAAAGATCTTATTTTCATGTTTTATACATTTCTCAGTGCTTTAGTACCTAGAAGGTGAGATGTCATGCAGCAAAAGCTCTTTGTTATTTAAATAAAGGGTGTGGTGGAAACATTTTCTAATAATGTGTTTTAAGCTGGGGTGTGTGTTCATGTGTTCTCATTCCTGTGTTTGTTAGACTGGTGTTGCTGGCAGCATAAGGAATGAAAATTACTATTAAAGGAACGAGAGTTCTGGCTAAACATTCAGGAAGTTGTCTTTGTTTCATTTGCAGTGGAAAACAGAACTAAAATCATCTGTTTATTTAAATTTTACTCATCCCTAAACCTTTTTTTGTCAGAGAATGCACTTTAATAATTTTAATCTCAATGCTTTATATTTAGTCCATCATGTCTAGTTAAAAAAAAAATATTCTATTTTCCACAAGCAGATAATATATAGCTGCTCCTAAAGGATGTCAAAAAGCTGAGGCCACTTGTGCACGTTAGATCTAAAACAAATCAGTCAGATCTGTTTTTGTACCTTTTTCCAGTTAAAACGGTTATTAGTTTCCTCTTGGAGTCATTCTCAGTTAACTTGCTTTCAGGTTTGGTTTATTTAATAATAGGAAACCCATTCTTCCTGCCTGAGAAATCTAAAGAACCCAGACTTCATAGAAGAGATTTAAAAAAGTCACTTTTAATCTTGCACCCATCATCTTGCCTTCTCAGTTCTTCCCCTACATCCTGCTGCTGGTGGCGGTGCTGATGTACTCTCCCGCCTTGTTTTGGAGATTTTCAGCAGCGCCCCTCCTGCAGTCGGACCTCGGTTTCATCATGGAGGAGTTGGATCGGTGCTACAACCGCGCTGTCACTCTGGCCAAGCGCTTGGCTACCGCTGGGCTTCTCACCTCTGACAGGTAGGCTGACCTGCAGAGGTCCTTATCTGCTCCTGAAGCCCAGCAGATGTTTGAGTTTGACTTCATTAGGCACATATTTATGTGTGCTAATATAAGCATAACACAGATTGCAAAAAGTTAGTGATTTCCACAGAATGGTAACTAAACGTTTCTTCAGTAAACTCCAGGGATTATGTACCGTATGCATGCTTCAAAGATATGAACAGATCATGACTTCATTAAATTCTGTATTTTGCATCGTTTTATTTGTTTTTCTATAAACGATGGTGATTTCTTCCCGATAAGAACTGATTCCCTAAAACTAAAACATTGTTCACCTCCCTGTTTCAATGCATTGTTTAGAATCCAGTGAGAGCTACAGTTTAAGATAAGGTGATAAATCTGTTAATAATCTGCAGAGACTTCTGAGGTGAGAAACCTGCTCACACCAATCGGCTACAGCAATAAAACTACAGGAAACACTTGTTTTCTTTCACTTTTATTCTGTTTAAACTGCAGGAGATGATTTACAGTCAATGATTGAAAGATTTAGAACCATAAACACATGAAAATCAGTTTCTTCTGAGTGATTTTGGGGTTTCTTTTCCCAGTGACCCCACCGAGGGCTGTTTCAACTACCCTCTGGTGGAGAAGTTCCTGATGACCAAGCGCTGCTCTCGGGTGCTGCTGTCCTACTACATGCTTTGCCGCGGCCTGACTCTGGTCACCCTGCTGTGCGCCTGCCTCTACCTGGGTTACTACCTCCGCCTGGCCTCCGTCACCGACGAGTTCGGCTGCCCGCTGCGCGTCGGCCTGCTCGTCAACGACACCAGCATCCCAGAGAGGGTTCAGTGTAAGCTCATCGCCGTGGGAGTCTTCTCTCTGCTCAGGTAAAAACCTTTTTCATCTTTCAGGTTCACCGATGTTTCTAAATCATTGTTCACACTGATGTAATAATAATGATGGAGTTTTAACTTTTTGTTATATAATTGGTGATGTTATTGTAATGAAGAGGTACGGAAAGTCATTGAAAACCATTCATTCATTCAGATATTTTTGATTACAGATAAAATCTAAAAACTAAAAGAAATCATTGAGTGAATAAATGCAGCCCCAACCTTTAGGTTTATAAGTTATCCAGTTTGACTTAAAAGCTTGGCAACATAAAGGTTTGATGCTGAGGATAGAAGGACAGATTTGGGCCATTCTAGAGACTAAAGACTGAAAGGAGCAACAGGGAGCGGAGTAAAATACTCAGAAGAAATGATGGGGAAAATAATAAATACAGAGTTCATAATTGGTCTGATTTGATCTCAGCATTTTTCAGGTCTGACAAAATGAGAAAAATGAAAATAGAGAATCTAGGAAATATTTCTATTTCCTGTGCTGTTGTTGGAAAGTTATACATTCCCTTCCTTTCTTCCTGGTCTACATCTTATCTTTCCCTGTTTCCCTCCTTCTGGAGTCTTGTTGTGTCCTTCCCTAATTACTACCTTTCTCATATTTCTTGTGTCCTTACTTTGGTCCCTCTATCCAGTCACATTGCTCTTTGTTTTCTGCCATTGTTTAATCTTTTCTTTTTTTTTTTTACCCTTTAAGTTTCATTACATCCTTCCTTTCTAATGAACTTCCTATCTTTCACTTTTTCCCACTCCCTTCTTCTTTTTATGAGGTCCTTTTTCAGTCTTTTAATGTTTCCTTTAATGTGTTTTTTTTAAACATTCCTTCTTTACATTTCTACTCTCTTCTTACCTCCCAGTTCAGTCTGGATTTTATTTACATAAAGTGTGATGAAAAGTTCATTAATTTAGGATTCATCATTTTTCCAGCTTTCAGCCGATGCGGCCCTTCTCTCTTCAAATTAGACTGGAGCCTCTTTGCTTTTTTTTTTTTCCCTGTCCAGTGCTGTCAACTTGGCCGTGTTCGTCGCCCTGATGCCAGTGGTGATCTACGCCAGTCTCCGCCCCCTCATCTGCCAGGGCTACGCCCGCTTCCTGGAAACCTACCAGTCACTTCCCACATTAAGCATCCTGCCCTCCCCTGACGGCCAATGGGACGACCTCTCTCTGTACCTGCTCTACCTGGAGGAGAACATCAGCGAGCTCAAGTCGTACAAGTACATGAAGGTGTGTTTTTCTTCCCATTTATTACACCGGACTAAGTTCCAACCGTCAGGAATTATGGAAGAACAAGATCACAGATGCTTAGGGGTTCTTCTGTATAGAGAAGGCTGTGGCCCCAACCCAGCCCAGAACTCTCTGGGTGGATTATCAAACCCTCCTGGCCTGTAATCATGTTGAGATCCTCCTGGTGACAATTATAGTAATGGTGGGATGAGGGATGTTTGAATTTGTCCACTACCTTTGCAACCCAGATAAGCAGAAGATCACTAGGCATGACCTCCAAAAGGATCTTATTTTTAGCCGCTATTTTGTTTATAAACTGGAATATCTGTAATGTTTGAAATATTTAAGTGCTTTCGCTCTGCAGGTTTTGGAAATGTTGAGGAAGCGTGGCGAATGCTCAGGAGAAAACTTTGACACCGTGGGGTTGCTGCAGACCCTCTGCTTGGTGAAGATGGATACGGTGGATGGGAACAAAACCGTGAGTGTCGCAAACAAACCGGCTGGAGTTAAGATGGAGGCTGCTGATGCAGCAGCCGGCCATGGAGAAGCTGGGAACAACCTCAGACGTCTAAACTCTGCATCTGGAAACGAGACCAAGATAGAAACAGAGATGCAAGGTAAATAATATTTGATAAAACTTACAGGGTCCCCCTTCGCAGCCCAGAAAACGTTACTACTTTATGATCTCAAGAACCATTTGTGCTCGGTTAATCTAGTCCAGGCATGCCCAAAGTTGGTCCTCGAAGGCCGCTGTCCTGCAGGTTTTAATAGTTTCCCTGCTCCAGCACAGCTGATTTCCATCGATAGCTGATTAACAGGCTTTTGCTGGACTGCAATCATCAGAATCAGCTGTGCGGAAACAGCGAAACCTCTACAACCTGCAGCACAGCGGCTCTTGAGGACCGACTTTGGGCTTTTTTTTTTATCTCGCAGCTGTGTGCACTGAACTATTCTATTGTGTAGTTTGAGAATTAAAAATATATATTTTTTTAAATATTTAACACTCTAAATAGAGTTCAATTAACTGTTTTAAGGGATCAGACTTCATTAAGGATCAAAAGCAAATAACTGATTCATTGTCATTGTGTGCTGTTCATTAATAAGTTTCTCACCAAATCAATAGCCTGGAAGAGTAGCAGAAGTGCTTTGATCAGCCTTTTTAATACAAATTATTAGGAAAATGACACATAGGAGGTTAAAAGAAGTTTGCATGCCCCTTTAGTCAAAAAGTGGCGTCTATCTGCTGTATGCTGAAAAGCCTGTTTTCAGTTGATGCATTTGACTTTTTAGTGTTTGATCAAGAATGACGGATAAAATCAGACATATTGCATATTGAGGTTTGCAGCAGGGGTGGCAGGAGCCTCTTATTCCTCAAAGTGGCTGACACAGGCAGGGCCACTGGAAGTACAGAGGGCTTTTCATTCATATAGTGGCATCTGGCAGGTTTTTTTTAAGGTTACTTTATACTTTAAGTAGTTTTTGGAGCACATACTTTTTCACTTTTACTTGAGAAAGCAGGTCAAGTTGATACTTTAACTTTTACCAGTGTGTTTTAAACTGCAGTATCTATACTTCTACTTACCGGTAAGTAACAAATGTGTGTACTTTTGACACCACTGATTATTATACTATTTAAATGTTATTGAACAGTTTTCCATTACACAAATAATCCAAGATCAAAATAAAGCTCTAAAATACTATTGTGACGTTAAACTGCACAAATAGATATGAACGTGTGCGGCAGCACCATGCTCTTACTTTGAGCTTCAGGCAGGGTGCCCTGGTTAAAGGTGTCCAAATATTGAGGTGCGCTCTGGGGTTGTGGAGATAAAGTCTCTCATGAGCCGACGAATCCAAAATGCGTTTCTGTACCATGTTTCCTCCTTGTTTCTGTCATTAGGCTATGTACAGTTACTAGACTGCTGCCGCGAACGGGATACCTCTTTACTCAGTGACCACTAGCTTGCTTGACATGACGAAGTAATTTCCGAGAACTTGTGTTGATTAGGCCTCAAAATAATGTAATTAAAATCCAAGTACACATAATAGTAAAATAAAGAATGGGCAAAATCAGTTCCTAAAATATTCATAAGAAGTTTATAAATTGTGCAAAGTATTTTTAATATAATTTTTTTAAATTCTCCCTTCCTCCCACTTGCCGCGGCTATGGTCACAGGCTGGAGCTTCCTCCTATTTCCTGTCTCCCTGCTTTCAAGTAAAGAAAGATTGAAATACAGTAGTTTTATTATGACTCTGGGAACAATACTATGGAGCAAAATAAATACAGATTAGAGAAGTTTTCAAAAAAAAAGGACAAATGCATTAAACAAAAAAACATAATTGATAAAGTAGCTATTTTATAGAGCAGGCATCCCCAAACTCGGTCCTCAAGGCCCCCTGTCCTGCAGGTTTTAGAGGTTTCTCTGCTTCAGCACAGCTGGTTATAATGATTGCAGTAGCTCAAAAGCCTGTTAATCAACTTTCAATTAAAATCAGCTGTGCTGGAGCAAGGAAACCTCTAAAACCTGCAGGACAGGGGGCCTTGAGGACCGAGTTTGGGGATGCCTGTTATAGAGTAAAACACTTTGAATTATGAGAAAAATCAGCTGCTAGGTTACAACAGTGTGGAATATGAATCTCCTGAATTAAAATGTGTTTATATATTTCCTTTCAGAGCTCAGTCCATTGCTGTCTGGAAACGATGAGACGGGCAGTAAAGCTGGAGAAGGTGGGAGTCTTCGTCAGCGAGTGATGTGATTGGCTGGATTGAGCTCCTCTTAATGGAGCCATAAAGATGCTCTGAGGCTTTGGGCTCGTCGACACAGAACTGAGCCGTTTCCTGTTTTTTTGTGCAACAAAAAAACTTGATACTGATGTCAAAAGACTAAATCTGTGGTTGTTTTTAGATTTCACCGAATTTATTTTCTTCAGATGTTGATTGTTTTTCCAGATGTGATGGTTAAAAACGTTAGAAAAAAACTATTTTTGCTCTTCAATCAAGCTGTCACCAGAGGAGCTGTACTGACAGAAGGGCTGAAGATCTCTGCTTGAAATCAAATCATCTCAGTCTGAGTTTACATGTCCACCTCTGACAGTTTACAGAGACTTTTTGTGAGAAAAGCTGCTGTGCCTGAATAAGGCTGTTTTTCAGACTTTAGCTGAGTTATTGATTGAATCTGTGCTGCAGATTTTATCTTTTATTTTTAACCTTAAGGTACACTATATTGCCAAAAGTATTTGCTCACCTGCCTTGACTCACATATGAGCTTAAGTGACATCCCGTTCCTAATCCATAGGGTTCAATATGACGTCGGTCCACCCTTTGCAGCTAGAACAGCTTCAACTCTTCTGGGAAGGCTGTCCACAAGGTTTAGGAGTGTGTTTATGGGAATTTTTGACCATTCTTCCAGAAGCGCATTTGTGAGGTTGCACACTGATGTTGGACGAGAAGGCCTGGCTCTCAGTCTCCGCTCTAATTCATCCCAAAGGTGTTCTATCGGGTTGAGGTCAGGACTCTGTGCAGGCCAGTCAAGTTCATCCACACCAGACTCTGTCATCCATGTCTTTATGGACCTTGCTTTGTGCACTGGTGCACAGTCATGTTGGAAGAGGAAGGGGCCAGCTCCAAACTGTTCCCACAAAGTTGGGAGCATGGAATTGTCCAAAATGTCTTGGTATGCTGAAGCATTCAGAGTTCCTTTCACTGGAACTAAGGGGCCAAGCCCAGCTCCTGAAAAACAACCCCACACCATAATCCCCCCTCCACCAAACTTTACACTTGGCACAATGCAGTCAGACAAGTACCGTTCTCCTGGCAACCGCCAAACCCAGACCCGTCCATCAGATTGCCAGATGGAGAAGCGCGATTCGTCACTCCAGAGAACGCGTCTCCACTGCTCTAGAGTCCAGTGGCGGCGTGCTTTACACCACTGCATCCGACGCTTTGCATTGCACTTGGTGATGTATGGCTTGGATGCAGCTGCTCGACCATGGAAACCCATTCCATGAAGCTCTCTGCGCACTGTTCTTGAGCTAATCTGAAGGCCACATGAAGTTTGGAGGTCTGTAGTGATTGACTCTGCAGAAAGTTGGCGACCTCTTCGCACTATGCGCGTCAGCATCCGCTGACCCCGCTCCGTCAGTTTACGTGGCCTACCACTTCGTGGCTGAGTTGCTGTCGTTCCCAAACACTTCCATTTTCTTATAATACAGCTGACAGTTGACTGTGGAATATTTAGGAGCGAGGAAATTTCACGACTGGATTTGTTGCACAGGTGGCATCCTATCACAGTTCCACGCTGGAATTCACTGAGCTCCTGAGAGCGACCCATTCTTTCACAAATGTTTGTAAAAACAGTCTGCATGCCTAGGTGCTTGAATTTATACACCTGTGGCCATGGAAGTGATTGGAACACCTGATTCCAATAATTTGGATGGGTGAGCAAATACTTTTGGCAATATAGTGTACGTCATTGTATCTCTACAGCCTGAGACAGATTCTTCTGAGGATGAAAGATCTTAGAGGAAAACAACACAGTCGGTGAGGGAAATTAATGTAAAATCTGCTCTTTAGATTTCTGTGAAATTGTAAAACCAAAGAAAAAGCAAAGTGCATGTTTTTTTTTTTCAATTTAAAGGCCTATTAGGGGGCATTTAGTTTTTATGGAATGGTCAATCACATTTCAGGATATTTTTTATGCTATAAATTAAGAATTTGGTTTGTTTTTTGGTTGTTTTCTTTTTTTAGGTTTTCAATTCTTGATTTTCATTAGAATAATATGAATTTCTAAGGTGATTTTCCTGCTGAAGCAGCGCAGATCTCTTAATTGCTACTTTAGGGGTTCAGATGCATGAAGCTTTTGTTTGGGGGTAGATTTTCCTGCATAAAAAGGTACAAAATGTTCATTACATTTATTAAAGAATTAAAATCCTTTTTGAAAAACGTACCTCATGTGTGAATAGTATTAGGTTTTGGTGCCTTAAACTATAATGTACTATTATGTAATAGCTAGACATTTTTGATGCTTCTCAGAAACATGCTTCTAATCATTGTACATCTTTTTAATCGTAAGTTTGTTTTGTTCTCAGCATGTTTTGATAAAATGGCTGCGGTGTCCTCTCTCTGTCTGCTCTTTTTAAGTGAAATGTTTGTATGAAATTTGTTCTCATGATGATGTTTACATTTCTACTGGGATGAAAGGAAGCTGACAATTTTTGTAGTATTTAAGCGGAAATTACAAGTTTGGTGGTTTTCTAAATGAGTAAAAATGTAATAATGTCATTTCAGCCAAATGATTGTGTTTTGTAGTTTCACTATGATGTTTTGGGTTAGTTGGGGAAATAAATGCAGAAGTTTCAGTTTTTGTAAAATATGGTCCAGTCTTTTTTTTGTTTTGTTTTGTTTTTTTACGCTTGGTGTAGGGAATATTGAGATAATCCAATGCCCAATGTCCAATCCAATTGACTACTAAACATTACTACAGCATTAAAGATTTCTAAAAAATAAGTCCTTCTAAATATACATACAATCGTTGGGCTCAGTATTTTTATTGAATAATAATGTGTGTCCTTCTTAGTTTATGGGGGTTTTCAGATCACTAATAGGTGTTCTCCACTCTGTTGTATTTGGGGTCACAGGCTGATTTTCTTTCAAACCCTTGAGCTAAAGGCCAGATTAACCAGGTTACAAAAGCTTCTAGTCTTCACTGTGGGCCTTTTTTAAGCTGTGGACAAGCATTCCTAAAGCTATTTAAAACACACGTACAATGACAACACAGTCGACTATGTTATATTTACTTATATAATCTATCAAATAAATGAGCATTGAATATATATTTTTGATATTTAGCCCAGTTAGGAGGATCTTAAGTTCTCACACTCCTAATTTCATCCTGCACCCATCTTAGGAGACCACTGAGGGACAAAAAATCAAATAAAACATACGATTTATTAAACTATATAAAACTATATATATATAAACTATGTAAAATCTATTAAAAACTTTAAACTATACATCTTGTATATATAAACTATATACAATCTGTTAAACTATATACAGTTACGGACAGAATTTAAGTTTCAAAACATAGAATCTATTAAACTATATACTATATATATTGTATATATAAACTATATAGAATCTATGAAACTATATACTAAATACTTTATATATTGTATATATGATCTATATAAAATCTGTTAAACTATATACTATGTATATACTATATACACTACCGTTTAAAAGTTTGGGGTCACATTGAAATGTCCTTATTTTTGAAGGAAAAGCAATGTACTTTTCAATGAAGATAACTTTAAACTAGTCTTAACTTTAAAGAAATACACTTTATACATTGCTAATATGGTAAATGACTATTCTAGCTGCAAATGTCTGGTTTTTGGTGTAATATCTACATAGGTGTATAGAGGCCCATTTCCAGCAACTATCACTCCATTGTTCTAATGGTGCAATGTGTTTGCTCATTGGCTCAGAAGGCTAATTGATGATTAGAAAACCCTTGTGTAATCATGTTCACACATCTGAAAACAGTTTAGCTCGTTACAGAAGCTACAAAACTGGCCTTCCTTTGAGCAGATTGAGTTTCTGGAGCATCACGTTTGTGGGGTCAGTTAAACGCTAAAAAACGACAGAAAAGGAGAACTGTCATCTGAAACTCGACAGCCTATTCTTGTTCTTAGAAATGAAGGCTATTCCATGCGAGAAGTTGCTAAGAAATTGAAGATTTCCTACAACTGTGTGTACTACTCCCTTCAGAGGACCGCACAAACAGGCTCTAACCAGAGTAGAAAAAGAAGTGCGAGGCCGCGTTGCAAAACTGAGCAAGAAGATAAGTACATTAGAGTCTCTAGTTTGAGAAACAGACGCCTCACAGGTCCCCAACTGGCATCTTCATTAAAAAGTACAGTGAACCCTCGCTATAACGCGGTTCATTTTTCACGGTCTCGCTGCTTCGCGGATTTGCATCATGCATTGTGTTCTGCATTCTGATTAGCTAAACAGTCTCTTCGCATTATTTGTAAAAAAAAAAAAAAAAAAACAACAACAACAAACGTTTATACAGTACTTTTATTTGTTAAACAAATGCTTGGGCCTGTAAAAAGTTTTTGTTCCTTGATTTCAATGTTTTATGGAGTATTTAATTGTATAATAACTGTAAAAAAAATTAAGGTTTCTACCTCACGGATATCGCCTATCACGGGTTCTTTTTGGAACGTAACCCCCGCGATAAACAAGGATTCACTGTACCCGAAAAACACAAGTGTCAACATCTATAGTGAAGAACGTTTGCGAGACGCAGAACAAGAAGTGCCCGTCCAACCAATCCAACTTGTGGGAGCTGCTTCTCGAAGCGTGAGGTGCAACTATATATATAAATAGCCATGTAAAAATCCTGTGCAATAACCCAGTATAATGACCCTACTGTATATTTTAAAAAAAAGCTGTCATACATAGGCGCACTGTATATATCCCATGCACCTTTTTCTTTCTTTGGCACCTTCTTTTCTTTTAAATAAATTTCTCCACTGTGAGATCAATAAAGTAGATCAATCAATCACTGTTAATTCCTATTACTGTTGACTAAGACACCAGTTGTTCAGCTGAAATAAACTTCAATTCTAAGGTGAGTATGCAAGCATTTGTAATAATTCAATAAAACTAATCAGTATTGAGAAAGCTTAATAAGCTAAGATATTATTTATTTGTATTTAATATAATTCTTATTATTTTTTTTATATTTCGTTACATATAAACATTTAATAAAATTAAACCTCCAGCAGAACCCAGTTCTTTGTATGTCGTCTTTTTTTGGGGGTTAAAGGAGGCTAATTAAAAGAACATACCGTAAAAGCGCTGATCGATAAATACTTTGTTTGTTAGAAACACTGATCTCTATTTATTCACTGAATTGCTGATTGCCTGAAAAAGTGATGCCACTGGCCGGCATGTTAGTATTCCCCACTCACACCAAGTGTGCAGTAAAAATGCCTACTTGTGTAGCATTTGACTGCAAAAACAAGCAGTTTGCCAGCTGTGGGAAAACGTTTCACAGGTAATTCAGAGTCAGTGGGTGTACTAAACAAGAAAAGCCACATATACGCCAATGTGTCCTATATTATAATATGTAGCGTAACATTAGTCTGGCTATCGGACTGACTCGAAGACATTTGACTTTGTGTTTAACCTTAGAAAGTA